CCAAAGCTGAATAGACAAAATTAATCATCCATATGAAACAGGTTACGCCTAGCTAAAATAAATGAACCTAATAGTTGTTTTACTTGTCACTTGGTACAACTACCTATTGAATTACAACCTTACGTACAGTAGTGATCACTATGGAGCACAAAATAGGAGCAAAATGTATAAAATTAAAGTTGAAATCACAATAGGTTCTTAAACTAAAGCTAGTGCGATTCCAATATGTTCCAAGTGATGGCAGCAGGTTCAATTAACGTGGTTGGTCCCGGTTATAGGTTGTAGCCGGTATGGTCAAACCAGTCGTAAGGTTCAACAGTACCAAAACAAAGGTATATCCGTCCAAACAAAAAGACTCTGGTAGAGGTAGTAGCCTTACAACCGTGTAGTTTCCGATGGAGGTTGCCGTACAATGAAATGTGTAGCCTTTAGTTAAAAATAACTGGCCGACGGCCGTATACCTACTTGAATTTATATAGACTAATTCACCATAGAGTTTGAATTTTGACCGTTATTTTCACCAGTTGAAAATAAATAAAACCCCCAGATCTGTCCCATTTTCTGTCAACCATCAAATAATGATACATGACATTTCGATTTGACATGTAAAATATCAGATTCGGATCTTTGAATTTTGAATTTTTCTGTGAAATCCTTTCAGTTTTTTGCCGTTTTCTGCATTATTTTTTATTATTTTGACAATCGGTGTTTTGGTTTTTTATGTAGTGTTCTGCGCCTTTGTGTTTCGGTGTTGCGTTTCAAACCTGGTTTTAGTTTGGATTTAACTGTTCACTTTGTCAATAACTGTTTACTGTGGACTCTTTTAACACTTTTATCTGGTTTATTTTAACGTCTTTATGTAAATTTAAACCTAATACTCACACAATATTACGATTTTAAGTGCCGATTTTGGCATTAGCGATGACACAAAAGTCCTTGAAACTATTATAAAGTATTACGTTTGTTCTATTACAGATGGTTATTATTACCATGCAGGATTTTAATAGCTTAACTTCCTTAAAAGAAATTGAAAATAGATTTTTATTCTGAAATGTATATCACTTTTCTAAATACGACCCTGTCGTTTATCCCACCTGACGGAATCGAAGCGCTAACGCATGATGGCAACCTAAAGAAAAAGTTACTAAAAAATGTCAACGCGAACTGTCAACTTCACTTTCTATCGCGATTACAACTATAGTCGTAAGTAAAAACCCTAAAGAAAAACTGTTATAGCACTCTGTATTTGTAACTTAACCTTAGCGAAGGCCAGGCACTTCGAAATGAACTACAAGAAAATTAATGTAGCTTTAATATAACCTAGTCAGCCATTTCTAGTTAACTAACTGACCCGGCGAACTTCGTACCGCCTCTGAATTATCAAATATACCTATTAAATGTTGTGTCAACGTATCTATTAGTTGAATTAAATTCAGTTTTTTTCGATGGTGAATTTGGCTTTGGTTGAAGAAAATTAATGTTTACTCTCTGGATCAGAAGTCACCTAAAATTAAAATTTTACATCATCCTATTTTAGGCACCTTGTGGGCATTATTCTTGTAAAGTGTACCACCAAATAAATAAACTCCAGGCACAGGAATGCTCAAAGAATGTAAAGAAAACAAAAAAAGTCTCTAGCGCAGCCCTGTTTCACTCTATCTGCACTGCATGCACTGCACTACTCCATCTGTTCTACTCTATCTGCACTACTCTATCTGATCTACTCTTTCTGCACCACTCTATCTGATCGGAATAGTGGAATAGTTCTGTTCGAAATAGCTCCAGTTCCTGAGCAGCATTGTTCTACTGTATCTGCAATGCTGAGCTTCGTTCCAGGTATCAGAGATGGCGCGGTATACGAAATACAAAATACAAAATAAACTTGCTATCGGTTATAAGAGATGGCGCCGTATGCGGGCTTAGTAAGCTTTTTTCGTAAATAAATAAAATAAGTAATGAAATGACCACATTAATGACATAACAACATGTTGGTACTGTCAATGCTGAAAAAAGTGTCAATTTGACAGCAAAATCCCCATTAACCGATTTTGTGCAAACTTCACATAAACCATCTAATAAATAGTCCGAACAAAGCCTAAACATTTGGTATGGCTAAGTGAGCCCGTTCTTGAGTTATAAAATTATAGTTTATACGAAGCATAGAAAAGTGATTTATATTCTTGATATAGAACGCTCACTTCTGTTGTAGTCGCCAAGTGACAATTCCGACGGTGCTGCCATAGCAGTGTAGTCATTGAACTAATATTTGGCGGGCCGTTTGAATCTCGGTTTTAAATGACTGGTTTGACATTTCAATTATTTCAAAATAAGGCTCTAAAACTTCATAAACTAAAATTTTATACATTTTATTTTCATATATTTATGCGAGAATCACGAACATCATACAGTGACACGATTTCTAGGTTGTTTATCTCCAACAAAACCAAAATTTCTGTTTTTGTGCTGTTTTTGATGTAGATTTCGCTGGTTTGTGGCTGCAATTCGCTTTCGGCCGATTTATTTTTTGCCGCCTGGTCACACATTGTGGCAACAACTCTTAAATCGGCTGCTTATGATGATACACTTATCACTTCTTTCACAGTCTTGGAATTCAAAATAATCAACGACGATGTACTCAACAAATTAATTCAGATCACAAGATGACAATATGCAATATGATGTTAAATGGACCCCTTCGTTTTTATGACTGGTTTTTATATCCACGATTCTATGTCGGTCATTGTCATTTTCTGTTCACTAAACAAAGATAGCTAACACATCGGTAAAGTCATAAATACGGAATAAAAACGAGGGGGACGTTTAGAAACGGCGATATGGGCGCACAGCGGTGTAGTCACGAACTAAAACAAAAAGTGGAAGGGATGAATCCAGTGAATGTTCTATTTAAGAATTTATAAATCACTTTTCTATGATACGAAGTCAATCAGAACAACTAAAAAAAAGAGTCACATACCGAGTCAGCTCAATTTACCTATATATTCCAACAAAAATAACCCAATTTTAAAATAAATAGTCCCAGTATGAATATTATCTTGCCTAAAATCTCGGATGAACCCTAAATCAATTTAAATGTTTTTTATACACATTCAAAGACGGCCGCTTCCAGTCGGTCAAATAATATTTGGCGAACGCAAAAATAAATTATTGTCTAAAAATGTCTGGTGCATTGTAGGTGACTGTAGACAGGCGCCTTTGGCGGCCTTTGCATTGTGAGATAAATGGATAAATTATTATTGGGGTAGCTTGCTCATGGACGTAGAAGAAATTAGAATAAGTTTATTATTCGTTTTCGGGCATTTTACCGATATTTGCGAAAATATTTATTCATTCCTAGTGTGTGGCACGCCTATGCTCCAATTCATAAAGAAGATGCCGCCTAAACAGTTTTTATGCTGTTCGGATTGACTTCGTATAAACTATACAACGAAAAGTGGCATTAATTTTTATATATATAGATTCACTAGGTAAAGCTCTTGAAAAATATTTAAATAATTTGTGTATTTTTATACACAGAATTAGATATATTTGAAAGAAAAGAAAATGTGGTTCAAAATTACAAAAAAATCTGTCGTTATTAGGTTATGTCCCCTCTGTTGGAATGGGTTTTATTTGACTCGAAAATACTCTGAATTAGTCTGGATCGAGGTTTGGATTCGAAATCCTGAAGTGAGTGAGTTGGTCTTTTCTCTACTCCTTAGGGCAGCTTTTCACTAATGATTAAATAGAGGTCAGAATCCATAGTGGGAAAAACGTGCAAAGCAAAACTTACCGGATGGATGGTTGTAAAAATCCGAAATCATCGGCAAAATTATGGCACTTTACGAAAACGTAACGCAACGTAAGGCAACTCAATGTACCATAAATTCACTAATTGAGAATATTGAGGTCAAAATCCCTCAAAGGCGAAGATAAAATTTAGCTTAACTCAGAAAGCCCTTATTTCTCGGAACCATCAAACGTGAAAGAAAGAAGCACCACAGGGAATTAATCAGCTGTCCTACATTTGAGGAATAGAGATGAGGCAAAGTAGCGACAAATGTCAAAAGTTAACGGATGGAGAACTAAATCTGGTACTGAGCAAACGAACAGGGTACGTGCAGACTGCAGCGTGCACCTCGTGAACAGACCACTATTCGGAAAACCTAACCCAAGAAATAATTGATTTGTTTACATGAAAATTGATTTTGAAGTGGAACCACATAATAATATATTATATAATAAATGTGGTAACTAGGTTATTACCGCACGCGAGAGAAATTTGCAAACCGAGCCAGTGAGGTGAGGTTTGCAATCTCTAAGGGCGGTAATAACCTAATTACCACACGTTTATATACAATATTTTATCTACAACATAATATCACTTTGACTTTTATCTTTAAAAAAAAAAAAACAGACTTTAGAAAATAAAATCGCTTCTGTCACCTTTGACAGTAGACAAGTAGAATTTAGGTGATAGGTAGGTAGTTGAAGGTACCTATGTAGGTAGAGCGTGCGGTAATATGGTACTTACCGCACGCAAAATCGTGTGATATACCTAAATTACCGCACGCTTGTAGATAAAATATTGAATAAAATCGAGGAAACTCATTAGTCGTCACAAGAACTAGTCACAAGTGGAAACATTTAAATAATAAAGATTAGGAAATTTACAGGATCTGCATTTACTGTTGAAATTTTATAAAGGAAAAATGTAAACAAAGACTAATTAAATCAGCGAAAAATTGAATATATAAAGGAATTTTGAATGGAAAACTAAAAATAAATATAAAATAATTAAAGGCAATTTTGGCACGTTACAACTCTTTTTCCAAGTTTCTCTGTTCCTCCGAAGTACTGTCTTTGTTACTGCACCTTTTCGAAGTACTAACAATTTTCTCTTTAGTACTCTCTTGGTAGTTTTTTTAGCTTTTGCTTAAAATCTGTCGCCATATTATTAAAAAAAAATCTGTTTTATTTTCCAAAATAAAATATTCCTCTAGCTAAGCTTGGGGCTCTAAGAACCTGTTTGCATAGTAGTTATGCTTTGGGGTTGAAGAATTTAGGCAACAGTTTCGATATTACTGTTGTTCAAGATAAACGGGACCTCACTTAGACAATCTGCAGTAGTCAAGGTGTAGGGTACCTATGGGGATTAAAACTTCTCGGAAGTACCTAGTAGAAGTTTAAATAAGTATGAAAGTATGTAGCTTGTGATTTCATTCAAATTTATATCTTTTAATTCTCAATAACCCATAATCTATTTACATCTCATCGAAGTGACATAGTTGATAATGTTTTTTTGCATAATTCTCAAAATATGTGTCTATAAATAAGATATACAATGTATAAGTTATCATACCAAGGAACCTTTTATAATTTCATAGTTATTAAGATTAATTTTCCTTTTAGCCTATTTCTGCTGGAACAAGATATCAGCATTTTGAGTATTATATCCAGAACAACCAAAATAGACCCTATAAATATCAAGTAAAAGCATCGGTTTCTTGAACACTAATTGGTAACAGGATACTTTTACGCTGTAAATCTAGAAAATTGCTCGACAAATTGCGATGAAAATAGTATGTTGCCTTGATATTGTTTAAATTTATAGCTAGAGTCTTTCGCTTTAATAATAAGGGGGTATTTGCAACAATAAAGTCGATGGATTTTTTTATTTATTCATGGGATTGTGATCTAATATTAACTAACTAACAAGTAGGTATTAAATACAATATATTTTTTGATGCACTACTTATAATTTGTATTTTCCTGATCCAGATTTGCTGGTGTTGCAGCATTGGTAAAAAAGAAAAACATTCGGAGGTTTTTCTAAATCACATCCACTATTTTAAATTCATAACCCCAAAGTATTCTGACATATTCATCATAACATAGAATAAATAAAACAAGTCGTATGTTACAATCCCTCTCGAACGACATATTGGAAAACGTAGTGCTCCGCCTTTATCAACTAAGGCCGCGTTCATTATAAGTAAATCCCGGTTCTCTCTCCCCATCTGGCAAGAGAGGAGAAGAACGTGTCGAATTATCCCATAATTTCCTGACGATTTCTCGGCGAATATGTGACTTAGAAAATAACGTTTCATGGAAGAGAATTTTGAAGGCTTATATTTGTTTGAAATTCGTAGACTCAAGGAATAGCAAATATAGATTCTGTAATCAACTGCGTAATGAGCATAATTTGGAAAGATTTTTCAAGTTAATGAAATTTTCTTTTAGCAAAATATAAAATTAATGACATAAAAAAATTAATTTATCATATTTAAAAGCAATACCGTTGCAGTTTAGCGAAAGATAACTTCCGGTCGACAAAATTGCAGGAAACGAAACGTCCGATGATTGCGCTGCAATTTGTACCGTTTAATTAATGGCAATTATTTTTAATCCGCGAGTTTGCCGTATTAGAAATGTACTTGAAAAGTTAAGTAATGGCCATGCTTACACTAAAGACCATTAACTTAGATTTATATCGCGTTATGAGACCACGGAAAAGATCGGGAAACAAGATAGAGGGCATTTCGGGAAGGCTGGCAAAAATTTATAGGGGGCTGTAAACCTCCGATCGTTATCTTTCATTATAGGAAAGTAATTTTCAACTTAATTTCATTGTTATCGTTAAAAGTATAAGAATTAGAGTCTGGAAGGTCTCAAAAACGTGTTTTTAATTTTAATTAAGGGGGAACCTGCTCAAGTTTATTTATGAATCATCGACTAATTAGTGTAGAATAACATTAAGCTAAAATGTAAGGCTTCAATGAACAACTGGCTTAACAAGCGATTGCAAGTCTTATATTTTAGAAAAAAATAATGTAACTAGAAGGATGTAGGTATTTACAGCGGTGGTACAATTAATGCTACTTACTAGTGTGGTCAAATTCGGAAATCAGATTTTACCCAAAATCATAAGTTACCCTCAAAATTGCTCAAGTAAATAGAATTTGAAGAGAATCTTTCTGCTACTATTTCGGTAGGTATCAATTTGGAATATAGGTACCTATATAATAGTAAAATGGAGTATTTTTCTATGGTGTTTTCAATTTTCAAAACAGTTCTCTTTTATAGGCCCAGCATTTTGACAGCCAAGCGCAACCTAAAAGAACCAAAAATAAGCAATTATTAATTTAACAAAGATGAGTTAACAGAAATCAAATAAAATATATTATATCTGAATCATTAAAATAATTATCATAGTTCCAACCAGGGACTTCTTGGGGTACCGCATCTGTTACCGGACGTTGGCAATCATGTTCGCGGCAAAGCATAACTCAATTGATGGCTATTCTGAAACGAGCTCTTGTTGACATCCCATACCATTATCTCAAGCTCTTCAGCTATGATGTATGCATGACTTCTTCCACGTGCTCTCCTACCCTCTAGTTTTTCTCCTATTATAACCTGTAGAAGACGATACTATTCTGGATGTCGCAATATAACCAAAATGCCATCTTTCTCGCCTTACTTAACGTTGTCTGTTTCTTGTGAGACGCCTGGGCTGGGACTCTGTAACGAATGAAGATATTTTCTCTATCTCTATTGACGTCCCCTCTCTATTGATTTCGAAAAGAGAGAAAAATACAGCAAGTGCCATAGCGATGGGGATAATGATCTCTATCCGTTACAGAGTTCCAGCCCTGTCGACCCAGCCAGTTCCAAGCATGCCTATATTCCATATCTTGAATACTTCCAACTTTTTCAGTGTAGCTTCATGTCCCAGTTTTCATTGACGACACACCCTAAGTTAAGGAGCTCCTCCAACTGAATTCCAGTTGGAGCAATGGTGCGGAGTTTGTTATCGACTATTTGTTCAGTATTTTGGATGTTCGGCTCGAGTTCATATTCCTCACAAATTTCTGATGTTCGGTTAAGAAGTGTTTGCATAGCTTAAGTAATTAATCAGCACAATCTTGATGCCTTCATTCATCTCAGTACTGGCCTCGAAGAAAATCTTCTCTGAGTATTAATCAAATTAAAGAAACGAAAGGATGCAACCCTGTGAAACGCCTTCCTGAACTTCAACTTTTCCGGATATATCGTCGTCTGTTTTGACCTTTGCTGTCTGGTTCCAATGAAGGTTTACTCTAATGTAGATGTTACTTATAGTCTAAGTGCCAGTGATTTTTTTTTCGTAAAAAGTTGCCGATGGACAATTTCTGGCTTAAACGATGTAGTATTATCCCCCGAGGTTGAAAACCATAGTCTGGCAGCATGTAGTGGGGAATTTTGGTGGAGACATAATTAATTAGTCATTAAAAAAATCACGAAATTCGAAATATTTGCCGATGGTCAATTTTTGCGGCTTATCATTCAAAATTGTTCCATTAACAAGGCTGTGATAATGCCAGACGATTTTCACGGGTTTAAAGCCTTGCCAGACGCCCCAGATTGCAAAAAAATATTAAATTTGTAAACCCAACCTAAAATTCATAGTTTGACAAATATTTGACACTAAAAGTCATATAATAGTACAGGAGCTGCTATGTAACTGTCCCAGTTACTTTTGGTGACGATGGTACCTTTCCAATCCGGAGCTCTTCAATGGATGTTGGGGTTTCACTTTTGTGAACTGGAGCTCTTCGGGTTGTTTCCTGTATCCATGAAAGAGAATAGATTGCTTGGGTGACGTCACTCCAGCTGATCCAGATACCAATTTTTATGTCGAGTAGGTACCCAGAAAAGAAAAAGCCAGTATCAGGTTCACCAAGATTTGGAATATTAAATCCCTGAATTGTATCAGAAAGAGAGTGTCTTGCAAAGAAAATTTAAATTGAAATTTAATATAAAACTATTGTTGTGCAGACACTTATTTCCTACAGAATCAGGTAAGTATGAGCGACTATTGTAAATTGGAGAAATATTTAAAAAAAAAATACGTCGAGCACGACGGCGCAGCCGGAGTGCTCGAAATAGAGCAAGTGTTTTAAAGACCAGTTATCCACTAATACTTTACACTATTTTTTTTTATTGGTATACGTTCAAATCATAAATTACTAATAATTGTAGAATGCTACATTCGTGCTTGACACTTGTTACATTTTATTTGACGTTATCTACAAGTACCTAACCTACTCCTGACAAATCAATAATTAAAAAGTTGACATTTAAACCTTTCTCGGGTTGTTGGTTGTTGATGTTGTCATTGGTAACTTTAAAACACGCGCGTTTTTGAATGTTGGATTTAAACACGCTGAGGAGTACTTTAAATAAGTGAAATAGGTTATCAATAAAAAAAAATATTTTTTTGATACTTTCAAATTACTTAAATTAGGAATTATTATTTTGCTGATTCCGAAATGGCAAAAATACAACTTTATAATGAAAATAAGAAGAGATGGAACATGTTACTTAAATGATAAATTTATCATAACAAGCTCTCTTAGTCGTAGTTTTGTTGTTTTCATCAACTTCAACACAAATATGGCACCAATTTTAGGAGCCTAACAATATCTGTCAGACCATATCCTTTTAGTGGTTGGGCTCTGTCGTACTGCGACGGTTTTCTCAGGCATGTCCTTGCCTTTCGTTGACTATCTCTTATAGCTCTTTTTTCAGGATCAATCCGCAGGTCCTGCTTCATTCCTAGATGTCTATGTGTTTCGGTCCCATCCATTCCCACGATACCCTGTAAGACTTTGCCTGTTCCAGTAGGGTAGATAGCGTTATACAGGTCGTGACCAAACTTCATTGCAATATCTTGCTCACTAAGATTTTCAGAAACTGTTGATCGTCCATGCAGTAGAATAGGCAGTTCAATCGAGTCACAGCAAGTGCCATAGCGATCTCTATCCGTTACAGAGTTCCATAATATGCTGCATCAATCTTATAAAGTTTCATCATGTATGTGAGCTATTCATGTGGTACTGAATCGAATACCATGGGCAGCAAAGACATTTCGTCCGCTAACATATTTTCGTGATACTGTACTGTTATCTTATTATAATATGAGCGAAATTGAAATCGAAAAGGTATATTTAACGACCGCCGGCAGTTATTTATCCGCCGACCGGTTAAATATAAATACCAGTCCGCCGGCCGTTAAATTAACAGGCGCCGGCCGTTAAAATAACGGCCGTTGGCTGGGGAGTGTTTTTTTTT